AACACAGTTTTCCTTGTTCAGCGAAGAAATTTCTTTTCGACGACTTCATTTTCAAGCTGTACAGTCGTATTTATATTACAGAAAAGGTCATTAAGTGGCACTAAATAATCGCTCAGTCAATATACATAAATATGTGATAAGAATAACGATAATTAAAATGTTATAAGGGGTAGAGTTGAAGTGGGTGAATTACAAAATTATTAAAGATTGTTTTATAAGTGAATTGATATCATAAATTTTTAAAAAGAAAAGTATCAAACGTTGTCTAAAAATTTTAAAAAACTAGGAGTACGATTACGATAAGAATGAAGATGCGAAGTGAAGGGGAAAGAATTCAAGTGGTAAAATAAAATAAAATAAAAGACTAGACAGAACATCACTATGACCGAGGTAAGGAAAAGGATTTGACAAAACGTTTTTGAACACATAATTTAGGTTTCTGTTCATGTATAGCTAAAGCTTCGGCTATGCATAAATGAAGCAAACGTAAACTTTTGGATCGATTCGCTTTCGCCATGTAGATAACTTTGAAAGATGAGTCACGTGGGGCTGAATGACCAGACTCTAACAGGCGATCGCAAATAGACGACTTAGCAGTTCTACGTTCGCCTTTCATTAACCAAACCGGATAGTGTTCAGCTACACGACTTAGTAGAGTACGCTTACAACGTCCAATATAATCAGCTCCACAGGAGCAGGTAGTGTTTTTTCTAGTTTATATTTTATTTTATTTTACCACTTGAATTCATTCCACTTCACTTCACATCTTTATTCTTATCGTAATCGTACTCCTAATTGCTTAAATTTTTAGATAACGCTTGACATTTAAAAAAGAAATTATTTTTGATATCAATTCACTTATAAAACAATCTTTAATAATTTTGTAATTCATCCACTTCAACTCTGCCCCTTATAACATTTTAATTATCGTTATTCTTATCACTTATATTGACTGTATATTGACTGAGCAATTATTTAGTGCCACTTAATAACTTTTTCTGTAATATAAATACGACTGTACAGCTTGAAAATGTAGGAATTCAAATGATCTTAAGTTAGATCATAAATTGACATCATCTTTTAGAGAGTCACTGAAAACCGTGCAGTACTGGACGGCTGTTTCTTCATAGTTCAGAAACCTTTAGAAGTAGGTAATTACAAAATGGCGGTTATCAGGGCTTGAACCCAGGGCATTTCGAGACTGGAACAAATCCGATCTATGAATTCTTTCTCTTTTATTCCTCTACGTTCCCAGTGAAATGTAGGGCTTTAGAATATAGGCTTGAACAAGTTTCGGTAGCAGTGGTATTTTAACAATAATAATAATAATTTGCTTTATTCCAAAACATTACTTGTGATACAGAATGGAATTCTCAGTATTTTGTTTACTACAGTATTGCATCCAGTTTGTACATTATCAATAAATAAAACTCTACATAGATTGAGGAAACCACAGTTCATTATTACAACAATACATTGGCATGTCAGTAGCAAAGGTAAAAGCTGAAACAGTGTTTGAAGGTGCTAGAAAAGTGGGAGCTGTCTTATTAGCTGGCGTAAGCGAGAGAAAGAAACAAAGCACCACATAACGGAAAAAGAAGAGAGAGAAAAGGAAAAGAAAGAAAGAAAATGTTGTACCTATTGATGATGTGGGTTGGAAAGACGAGATCCAGTTGTACTACTGACTATTTAATGAATTATAGGTGTCACGCCTAATGCTTTCTTTATCACACAGAACACGAGCTAAGTAGGGTATGGTTGAGTTTTTGTACTTGCTGGTGCGAGCATATAGTTTTCTATATTGGCTTCTGGTTTTACCTGATGAGATGCAAGGGTAGAGTTGTGAGTGAAGAGGGTGGTGTGAGTTAGATAAAATGGATTTGGCCCATTTTTCACATGAGTCCATGTGCCTGACGTGATGGAATTGCTAGTCTCATACCCAAACATCCCGCTTTACCAGTCGTATTACTGGCTTAGTCAGGTAAAGGAGTGCGTCCGATGGCTGGGGATAGAACCCCGAACCACATGAGGTGTGGTTGACGAGCATTCTACCACTGTGCCGCCGATGCACATGTATGAATTCTAACCTCCGCCAATCCGGGATTTGTATCGTCACTGCCAGCCAGTGTTGCAGTCAAGTATCTTTCGTCACTAGGATGAAATAGCTTTAAATTACTCCCAGGTATTAAATGGTTCTCTAGCCTATGAATGAGTCAGTCAAATAGTTCTCATTCTCCTGCAGTATAACTAATAAATACTGATAAATGAAAAAAAACCAATACTTGTAAATTAATCTGATGCTCACTAGTGACTGGCCCTATTCAGGCAGTTAACCTGGGGTTCTAGTGGGAAACCGTGACCAGTAGGGTACAGCAGGTTGAAGATGAGGCAGTAACTCATCGAAGAAGACATTGCGAAATGGTCGCGCTATGTCGTGAATTGGCAGAAGTAAGAATTCAAGGATCATTGGATTGTGTCCCAGTAGCTCAATGGTCCACGAGCTCGCCTTGCAACCAGAAGGACTTGGGTTCGAATCCCGGTGGCTGCGTACTGCTGAGGAATCCCAAACTGGGACGAAACAGCTGTCCGTTACTCCCAGGCTTTCCAATGGTTCTCTAACTGATGTCAGCTCATGATGAAATCCTCCATGCAACCAAACAAAATCTCTATAAAACCAATACTTGAAAATATATAATGGGCAAAATATTCGCATATTGACTCATTAGAAAAAGACGTAAACAGCGAAGAAAATTTTTCCTTTTTGAAGATTCATTTTCATAAAATGTTGTACAATTGTATTTAATTGTATATTTAACACAGAATTCACAAGACAACCAATCAGATACTGGTAAAATTTGTCCTCGAGAACGTATTAAGTGTAATCTAGAAGGGGTGAATAGCTGAAAATTAGGAAAGGGGCATAAGCTGGGATGACGTAATAAGTGTGGGAAAATGACTAATCAATATAATTGTGTATGCTGGACAAGACCTAGTGGAAAGACGATAAAGTGTTTTTCTAAAATGTGTATGAAAACGCAATGCTATTAATAAACAGTAGTAGAGTGATTATAAGATAAGGATGATGACAATAATAATGATAATAAAATAATAGTAGTAATAACAATATGTGAACTTACATAATAAAAAGAAGCAAAATTATAGTGGGAACGTTACTCTAGCCACGGTAGGGCGGGTAAATGTATGTAATGCTTTTGAATGCAGAGGTCCAGTTTCAGATCCTGAATAGCCAATGAAGCAGTTATGTACAGATGGCGTATTCGAAGTCCTTTCGTAAGATATTGCAAGGACTCTGTGTATCACCGCGAGGCATTCATGTAGGGGTTCTCGATATCCAGAGTTGATAAGGTGTTCAAGGATGGTACTGCCAGTATTGTTCTTTACTCCTGTGGCTAGTCAAGCTGGACTGTGTTCCAGAATATGTTTGCGGACTTGAAGTTGCGTACGGCCAATATAATTTGCTCTATGCGAACAAGTAAAGTGATAAATACGAATTGAGGTGGCCTAAAGCGGTATCTTATCCTTGACGTCAGAATGCATTTACTGTCTGCTGGAGAATGTGATTTGTAAGGTGACATTTAGAAATGCAGTCCCTGAGAATTTCCGCTGTGATGTCACCTTTGAATTCCGGGTTCATGAAGAGAGTTTTCTCACAAACAGTTGTGAAGTTTGGCGATGGAGACTTCTGTTTCATGTTTTTGTCTATGAATCTTGGTGGATCCCTGTGTTCTCCAGTAGGGTTTCACGTAATAGATTTAATTCTTAATAGAATGATATCATTTTATATTGCGAATTTCGTCTTCCTTTCTTTATTGAAATTTATCAAGGGAACCAGTTGTATGAAAATCAGATGTCTTAGGTAGTAGGATACTCAATAAGGCTGGAATTCGAGTGGCATTTAAGCCGACCAACCAACCAACTAAATCTGTCACAGATAAACTTTGTCATCTTAAGGACACAGTCACTTTTTCTTGACAAACTTAGAACACATCACTTAAATATCTGATGTAGAGTTTCAGTCCGAGTATAAATAACTTTAGACTGTACCAAGCCAATTCACAAGCCAACTTTAGAGTTATATCAACCACAGAGTACGCAGAAATCTTGACATTAGTGTAAAAACTTCAAACTTCTCCAGACCTCAGAAGCTGTAGAGCAATCAGCAGATAAAATCCTGAATTTTGAACACAGAAGACATTTGTCCAGTCTCCGAGGCTACAATGGACATAATTCGTTTCAACATTCAATCTGTAACTTTTGTAAACACTCGTTTTCGAAACTCCTTATTCTTCCCACTGGTACATTTCTACTCCTCATGACACTGACCATAACCTGACCGCTTTTAATTTTAGATGAGCTCTACTCAGTCTACTCGTCAGTTACATTATGTCACGCAATTTACACGCTTCTATCCGACCTATGTTTCCTACATTAAGTAGTGATACATATCTGAAAAAATTCCTTCATTTTGAAAACGTCTCTTTCCCGTAGTAAATTTAAAACACTGAACAACTGTGGAAAAAAGTTCATAAATTTCGGTAGGTCTCATCAGCTGAATACTCCTGATTTTGCTATGAGAGTGTACTAAACACACACACACACAGTTGTTCAGCTTGAGAATGATACTGCTGAAAAGGGGTAACTCCTCGTTGAATGCTTCATCTTTTGTAAGTTTAACAAAGTGCTGTTGAATAGGGATACTATTTTTAACTGGTACGCTAAGTGACTTAGGTTTCAGTCGTCAAAGGGACATCAGTTCCACGGAGATTATAAATACATCTTGCCAAAAATTACCAACTATGTAGAACACCCATGTCTAATACACCTCATTGATCATCTTCAAGTGTCTGATATCAATTTCCAAGCAAAACGGCGATGGTTAGTCGCTTACACTGGTGACCAACGCTTCTAGTAACCGTTAAACCACTTACAACTAACGCTGTCTATCGCAATTCGACCAGGATTTAGAACGATAAATTTATATATATAAAACATTTATTTATTGTTTTTAATTGAATATAAAAAACTACTAAAATGTTATGAAAATTGAAATATGTATATATGTCTAAAGACTAATTGCTATCACCAGTAGTAGTAGTAGTATCATTATGAAGAGAAAATGTGAACAAGTTCATCAATACTCCATTCTTGATCATCATTCAAATTTATATCCTTCAAAAATTCATCAAAACGTTCTTTTGGTATTTCACTGCCAAAATCACTATCTAACACTTTTTTCAATTCATGAGATGACAATTTTCCAGAATGATTAACATCTGCTAATTCAAAACGAGCTCTTAATTCATCCCTAAATAAAAAGAAATAAAGAAAAAGAAAATAATCCATAAAGTGTGGGGATAAAAGTTTTCATCAGAGAGGTGATTTCGCGCGTTATGTTTAAAACAAGCGCTACAACAAATATTAAAACAAAAACGATGGTAAATACCTCTAAAACAGATAGAGATGTAACCTGCTTCTAAGCACACATAACACACATAATCATATAAAACTAACTATTATCCTAGGAAATTCAAATTGTAATTGACCGCCTCTTTTGTACAATGTCCAATTGTATTGAAACAAAAGCGTGGGAAGTTTGTTCTATCAAAACTTATATAACAATGACTTTTTTAATTTCACAGAGATATAATTGACAAATAAAGAAACATACATATAAAACAGAACATTTACTGTGTAGACTTACATTGAATTAGAAGTGGAGTAGTGAATACTCTGTGTACAAGGAGATAATATAGAGGATGTTCACAATTGAAATCAACCAAGATTAGATGTACTTGAGCTTATATACCCAATTTTTTTTAAATCTCATATTTTTGATTGCAAATGGCCATGCCGATCTAACAAAATGATGATTATATGAGAGGTGTGCGTATAAAGCCCATGTGATCTTGATTTCATCATGTGTACACGTGAGACATACCGAACAATAATTTGATACGGAAAAATATGTACATACATATATACATATATGGTTAGATTATATGTTGATGAGTTCATCTCATGTGATTGAAGTAAATTAATTCTGTTGATCATGGTAATTGAACAGGAAAATCTTCTTGGTGTTGTTGTTGTTTTGTGTTTTGTTTTCGATTTGTTTTGTTGTTGTTTATTTGTAATCAGAAAAGAGCAAACAATATTAATTGTTGTGTTCATTGAAATAACACGCATTTTGACCTTCAAATTAGGCTAATCCCTAAATATTGGTTATGATAAAATGACTATGTGCAATTAAGATTTAAATTAATCCAAATCTACAACTCATTCATGGTTATTACTATTATTATTGTTTCCTTTAATTCCTAGAGGAACATAGGGATTCAGCCACGCGTCTCCATTGCGTTCGGTTCTCTGCTAGAATCTTCACCTTGCTCCATGTCTGCCCACACGTTTTCATCTCCTTTTCACATGACCTCCTCCAAGTCACCCCACCCTCGCACTGACGACCAACTCGCCGCTTCCCTTTTGGGTTCCACTCGAGAAGTGGCTTGTCTAGTGATGTCACTCACTTGATGGTTTCCTTAGAGTATGTCCAGTCCAGTCCACCTCCATTTCTTCTTGCTTATTTGTTGCACAATCGGTTCCTGCTGTGTTGGTTCGCTCATTGCCAGAGATCCCTCACTATTGCTGATCTTTTGTGGCCGGCCATCTGATCTTGAGTATTGAGCGAAGACAACTGTTAATAAAGGTCTGTAGTTTGCTGGAGATGCTCTTTATGACGCGCAGTGCAAGTCTCTGATCCGTATAGTAGGTAGTACTGACTTCATATTGGAGTTGAAGATCCGGATCTTATTTTTGATGCTGAGTGTTGTTGACCTCCACACAGACTTGAGAGTAGTGAAAGCTTGTATTGCTTTTGCAATTCTTGCTTTGATATCCTCGTCAGTTCCGTCCGCCTGTAGTTCAAACGATGCTTCCCAGGTAGGTAAAAGAGGTTGGTTCTTCCAGATTTCTCCCATTTATGCAGGCTGATTGTTGTCTGTTGTTTTTGTTTTTGTTGCGGTTGGCCAGGAATCTTCATCACCTCTGTTTTCTCTATGTTCACCTGAAGTCCTATCTTTGATGCTTCCTACTGAATGGATATTCTTAAAGTGTACTGAGAAGTCGCACAACAGAGAGGTCTACCAATATGAGGTCGGAGTTGAGCCTAGGGAGATACCACGAATTGGCGAATTTAGGAGTCACAGAATATTGGATTTCAGTTCAAGTGACTGAATGGTCAATGAGCCTTATGTTATAACTAAACTGAACTGAATAAACTACGTGGTTAATTTGTAATGTCTGCCCCTGTTAATTACTATAACGGTTATGAACTAGGTGGGTACGATAATGCGCGTCTATTTGTCCGTTGTACCTTCTGATTCATTGAGCCACGCAAATATCAAAAGACAATGGCTGGCCTGTGACTGTAAGATATTGTATTATATTGCACTATACTATATAGTGTAGCGGTAGGTAATTCCCCAGAATTATTGGCCACAGCACTCATCACTGAACATTGGATACTGACCCTTACCGTTTAAGGCAGCTTGTTTAGCTGAAAGCTTCCAGTCAAACATCCACGCCATTTGGTACTCCATTGTGCCATGTTCGTGCACGATCCCTAACTAGTTAAGCAGCCATCTCGCACTCCAATGTGGTCCCGAAATATAACTCGTAATTTGGACGGTCAATTCTGGTGTTTTGCCTTGCCTTTGTTTTACGTTGAAAGGATACTATAGAAGTTGTGGGTATTAGATCTTGCGTTAGTATACTTCGTACTATTCGTGAACATCAATACCCTCAGCCTCTAAAATAGTTTAAGAAACAACACATGTATTTATACATTTTTAAAAATCATAATGAAGCCGGTTCACAACCGTGGAAATGGATTGATCTTACTGGCTGGAAAGGTCTATTCTGATTGGTTGTTGATCCATCAAACACCAAGCTGAGACAAAAACCAGGGGATTGATCACACACTAAATCACAATATGCATGAGAAATGATACATTCACATAGTAACTGCATCACAAAATAAATCACACGATTTATGAGAAAGGATGATGTACTATTTTATGCTGGCTTTTATCACGTAACACCTCATAGCTTGAAGGTCCTGCGTTCGATCCCTTGTAAGGTCGTGGGTCATGCGCATGGTTGGGAAAGTCCCAAACTGTGCTGAAACGGCTGTCCAGTGTTTTGTGACTTTCCATGATCGCTAAGTGATGTTGCTTAGTCAGGAAATCTGCCTTTAAGTTGATACACATCCATGCAGAAAACCGTAATCTGAGTATAAATTTGACTGAAAGTATCGGGTACGTAAACCGCCGATAGTTTTTGTTTTGTGACTCTCTACTAGTCTTTTTCTGCATAGCTATAATTTGTTCAATATGGAGAATTTCATAGTTTTGTTTAACTAAATTATATCGTACCACATCTCGTAGTATTGCTCACCAGCTGGCTTTTACAGGGATGGGTTGCTTAAGCATATGAATTACTATTCATACATAGATAATTCGATGACTTAATGGTATTCGGTTGGAGGATTTCATCATCATGAGCTGACATCAGTTAGAGAACCACTGGGAAACCTCCAGGGAGTACTGGATAGCTGTTTCGTCAGTCTAGTTTGGGACTTTTCTGGAGTGCGAACCCACCACAGGGGGGTTCGAACCCAGGACCTTGTGGATCCTCCAACCAATCAAACAAAAACACCTACAAAAATAATACTTGAATATCAGTGAGATGCTGACTAGTGACTGGCACTATTCAGGTAGGTAGTCAGTTAACTGGGGTTCTAGTGGGAAGCCATTTCGCGGCAGGGTATAGCAGGTTGAAGGTGAGGATAGTTACTCATCGAAGAGGACATTGCGAAAAGGTTACGCTATGTCAATCCAAACAGTTCCGAAGAAACCTGTCTGTATCAGCTTGTCGTTCAAAGGAGATGATGTACAGGAAGTAGTCAAACGAAGACTCGACAAAGCCATCAAGAGAACTTGTTATGCTGCAAAACTTGTTTTCCTTAACACCACCACCGAGCGACTGCTTCAACAATCTGGGAAAGACCAGTCGCCAATCCTCGACACTTCAAACTGCGTATATCAATTTGAGTGTGTTTGTGGAAGCAAATACATAGGTCGTACGGAAAGGAGATTGTCTACTCGCATGATGGAGCATTTGCCAAAATGGTTGAAAACAGCTGAGTTCAAAGTGCTAAAATCCTCAATAACAAAGCATCTTGTGGATTACGGGCATGATATCGACGCGGTCAAGTCATACACCATTGTCAGCAGACAAAGAAACAAGAAGATGCTTGCAATTGCAGAGGCTTGTGCAATTCGAGTTTACAAACCAGGTCTCTGTGTACAAAAGGAGATGGTCGTGACTCTGAATCTACCATAGTAATACGTTTTACTTATAATTCTACCTCTTATTATTATTTTTATTATTACTATTATTATTCTCATTATTATTATTCTTGATTCATTTAAAACTATCCTTTATCAGTAGCATTATCTTAACTCACTTCAACACTATTATTATTATTGTTATTATAACTATTACTATTGACATCCCTCTGGTTGCAATTCCTGTTAAATTCCCTAATGTCTAATTGTTTATCTAAGTGATGTAATTGAAGCGTAATGCAATTTATCTTAATTTTGATCTTCCATACTCTCTCTCCCCTTATCTGTTTGAACATGACCTGGAAAAACATTCGCACCTGTCTTTCTGCATGACTAATTCAATGTAGTTTGTTTACTTATCAGTCCTATATCTCCCAATGTAATTTCAAAAGTATATATATCCTCGTATGTAGAGTATTCAGCTGACGAGTTCTACGGAAATTTGATGAATTCATTAAATCCTGCTTTATTAACCTTTATTGCTTGTTTTAAATTCGTTTCGGGAAATAAATGTTTCCGGTTCTCTAACTGATGTCATCCCTTGATGAAATCCTCCAACCAATCAAACAAAATCGCTACAAAACCAATACTTCAAAATTAATGGTATTTATCGAGAAAATGCATTCATCTTCGTGGAATGGAACTTGTAATGGACGAGTAAATCTCGGAATTTTGCACAGAGATGGAAAGATTCAAGTTGCTACAGTTAGAAAGGAATGCATGTAGAGGAAGAGAACAAAAATAAGACTGGTCGTTTATACACTACTGGTTTACCAATAAGAGTAGTAGCACATCACTCACATCAACCAATTTTGTTTACTAGCTAGATCGAAATGATTTATTGGATTTGACTCAGCTCGAAACAAACCGATTTCGGTGAAGTGGTTATAAACTGAAGCAAATTCACAATCTGCAAATTCAATCTCAACTCCAACGTTACACAATTTGAACTAACATTTCATCGCAATTTCTTTTGGTAACTGAATATATTTACATGCGAGAGAATAGTTCAATAGTGAGTTGGGTAGGCGGTACCATATGTTAGCTTGTAAAATGTGCTTGTGAACACTTCCCAGGTTGTCCAGCAAAGGAAGAACTTTAGTATGTCTTTAGTTCGACAGAAGAATATCTCTTGAACTCAGGATACAAACAAGGTGTATTTGAGAAATCCTTTTATCTCTTTTACAATATCCGACCAAAACTGTCATAGGGAGTGAGATCAAGACGTCTGGGCATAGATGAAACACTGTGAATCTGAAAATTCAAGGCAATACTTAGTTTCTTCATGAAACGGGTTCAAACTTTGTCATTCTCACGGCAATCATAAACAGTCTACTTTCTCAAGAAAATCGTTATTGATTATAATATCTATTATCCAAACCTCCTATGTGGTTTTACGTCCTGTTTGTTTTACGTGACTTCATTTTGTTATTGGCCACATTTTGACCTCCTCTCACTTGGAATACTTCTGGAAATTTTTCACCCCCTTAATTTCTGTTCACAGCTTGAGGCCTGTTTGAGTCAATGAGTTACTTGAATTCCCATCC